GACGTCGATGTTCCGGAACGCGCTCGTCGCCGCCGCCCTCACCGCCGTCGCCTACTCCTACACCAAGGACCTGCGAAAAAACATGCGCGACAGTTGCACGACAGTTGTCCTCCGCCGTTTGGACGCCGTCAATGTCAATGTCAGCGAAGGTGAAAATGGCGGCAGTCGGCAGGCGGTGCTACACCCTAAACCACCGCCGCCCGCCACCACCGCCTTCCTCGTCAAAAAGTGGATCCTTCTCGTGACAATGACCATCGGCTTCCTCTGTCTGCTCATAGTCCTCCTAGCCCTGGGCTACATTTTAGAACGAGTTCCCAGCCCCTCGCCGGAGGAGGACAGTGACGACGCCTACTGTCAGCTGGTGGGCTGCTCCAAAGCCAAGGTCGACATAAAGGTAAGCTCGTGGTCTTCTATTTCTTTTTCTATTTCCACCCTTTCCCTCCCTCTTCTCTCACTTTCCCATCCCCAGAAAGCTTTCAGAATAGTGCTCTGCGCCATTCTCTTGCTCGCCCTCGCCCTGCAGGGCCTCTTCATCTGGGGCGTGGCCAGGCAGCACCTGGGCCTGTGCGTCGGCTACACCGTCCTCTGCGTGCTGACCACCTGCTCGATGTTGATCAGCTCACTTGACAACCCGGCAAAGCTCCTGCGGGCGCCGGTACCGCTGCTCCTCACCTACGTCGCCTACTCCTACACCAATGTCCTGCGTATAATGCGCAACAATCGCCTCCAACGAGGACTGGCTGTGGTCTAGGGTGATCCTTTCAGTCCACTTCCAACACTACCAGACACAATCACAAGAGAACAAAGTCNCCGTCCTCTGCGTGCTGACCACCTGCTCGATGTTGATCAGCTCACTTGACAACCCGGCAAAGCTCCTGCGGGCGCCGGTACCGCTGCTCCTCACCTACGTCGCCTACTCCTACACCAATGTCCTGCGTATAATGCGCAACAATCGCCTCCAACGAGGACTGGCTGTGGTCTAGGGTGATCCTTTCAGTCCACTTCCAACACTACCAGACACAATCACAAGAGAACAAAGTCAACATCCCATCAACTCTGATGATTTCCCCCTATTTTTTCTACCGCACAGTTTTCTTTATTTTTGTTTGTTCCATCACCTCTGGTTCTCTTTTTTTCCGCTGGCAACAGCCACTTTTGTCCAAACACACACAAAACACAGCCAGGAAGACACTGATTTTTCCAATACAGTATTTTGAGTATTTGAGTTCTCTTTCAGTACTGTTGGTCACTTCATTTTTTTCAGAATCGAGAATCGGCGCCGCTATATAGGATGGATGCGAGTTTGGAAGCAGGAGAAAAAGAGAAAATGAACGAGTGAGTGAGTTCTCGTACAGAAGAGAAAAGCAAAACAAAGTGAGAGCTTGTGCCTTTTGTGCTCAGAGGCTATAATTCAAAGCAAAACAAAGCAACCCGGCCAGCCGCTGGCCATTGTTGTTCAACACAGAAAAGAACCACAAATCCTCGACGTCCATCATGTCCTTCCTGCTCACCTTCGCCTACCCTCCCCGCCACCCCTCCTTCACCCCGGTCACCCTCTCTGACCGGCAGGCCCTAGCTCGAGTGGCCATCGAAACCGGAGCCGTTCTCGAGCTGGGCGACCTCGAGGTGGACGCTCAAATGGAAGCGATGGAGCTCAACCACAATCACAACCACAACCACAACCACCTCAACAACTTCTTTCCCAGCGCTGCCGACACACTGCCGCCCATCCAGGCGCCGCCCACCTTCAAGCGAAACGGCCGAAAGCTGCTGATGTACAAGGCCGTCCTGGTGACGGTTAACCTCAGCGTCATCCTCGGCCTCCTCCTCTTCTACCTCTTTCACGAGGGTGACGCCAACCTAAAGAAAGAAGGACGGACGCTGATCTTTGGCTGGGTAAGCGCTGCTGATCTGTGGAATCCGTCCTTTGTGTTTAGCCCCCCCCCTCCTTTCAGCAAACAACTTTCTTCCAATTTCTAAATGCCAATCTCTTTTCCCCCAACTCCCAAAACTCCTTTTTCCTAACTCCCAACAGATCCCTAGAGAGTCCCTGCTCATTCCCATCAGCCTGGCGATGGCCGCCATCGAGGCCGTCCTCATCGTCGGTCTCCTTCGCGAGTCACCCCTCTTCTGCAAGCTGAACGCCATCAAGTGCGCCGCCCACTCGCTGGCCGCCCTCTACTTCCTCACCACAGTGGAGCACTTTGTGGAGCGGACCTGGCCCCTGTGCTGCGACCTCCTTCTCTACCCGTTGGCCTGCCACATCAGCCTGCTGTACGTGCTGGAGCTGAACCGACTGGAGCGGGGCTCCCAGGCCTGGAAGGGCTACATTCAGGCGCACCTGGCTCGCAGACGACAGGTGATGCAGCTGGACATGGAGATGCAGGAGCAGCAAAGGCGTCGGGAGCGGCAGCTTTTTGACGAGGTTTCCCTTTGAAGAGGGAAGGGGGAAGAGGACCCATGTTTTGGATTGATCTCAAATCGAACATTTTTTATGATCTCCAGTGCTCTGGCACCAAAATGTTATCTTACAAGCTTACATGCTACTTCTGCTGCTGCCGCTGCAAAACGCAAGAGCTAGAACAATTAATAAACATGTTTTCTTTGGCTGTTTTTCCCGTTTCTAAATGGAGGCTTACTCATTTCGTCTGACTGACTGTCACCCTTGCCATCATTTGAAGGTCATTTAAAACTGTCACCCCCCATCATGACTGTCATCAAGTTTAAGCAAAAACAACCGAGAACTGACGCCATTTTTTTTTCTCTCTCTCTCTCTTTGATGACATTTGTGAAATCAATCATAACATAGCTCAATGAATCAGCACAAACAAAAACGCACTGATGTCAGCGATTGCACTCGCAATGAATCGATCTGATTTATTACTTCTCATAATAGATTGGCTGAACTGAACGGGGTATAAAAAGACGTCACCTGTCAAAAGAAGTCGACTAGTAATAATCAGTTTGCTCAAAAATGAGCCATCACCACCACCACCACCACGACAAGACTGCCATGGAGAAGGTGGGCGAATTCTTTGGCATCAAGTCAAAGCATCACAAGGACAAACATCACCATCATCATGGACATCATGGCCACCATCAACCGGGACCTTATTACGGTGGACCACCTCAGCAACCTTACTATCAACCACCACCTCAGTATCAACAACCTCCACCAAACTATTACTACGGTGGTGGTGGCGGTGGTCAGCCGTACAATGGCTATGGTGGTGGTCAACAGCCGTACAATGGCTATCCTCAATATCAGCACCACCATCATCGACACCACTGAACATTGATGAGAACAAAGAGTTTTGTATTCCAAAATCTCCCAATAACTTTTCAATAACAAAAATAAACTTATAAAGTAAACTAAAAAGGACTTACTTTTCTCGCAATGCCATCAGTGGTGGTTTTTGAAGGTTTGATTGATTGAAGAAAAGGAGAACATGTTTGCCAAGTGTCACTTGCTCAATCACTATCGACGACTCAGTCAGAAGAGTTCACTCAGAAGTGTCTCTGGTCGGCAGCACCAAATGGTGAGGGCTTCTCCTAGAGTACATGCAGTTTATGGATTTTTTGTACGAGAGATCCGGTTTCACTGCCCAAACAACTGAAGTGGTGCTAAAANCAGTCAGAAGAGTTCAGTCAGAAGTGTCTCTGGTCGGCAGCACCAAATAGTGAGGGTTTCTCCTAGAGTATATGCAGTTTTATGGATTTCTCGTACGAGAGATCCGTTTTCACTGCCCAAACAACTGAAGTGGTGCTAAAATTAAAATTGCCAAAGCCTGCCAAGGCTGAACAGTGTACAGAAAAAACCGACCTTCACAATGTTTTTGTTTTTAATTGCAAACTCTCCACCTAAACACCAATTTAAAGAAATNATTAAAATTGCCAAAGCCTACCAAGGCTGAACAGTGTACAGAAAAAACCGACCTTCACAAGGTTTTTGTTTTTAATTGCAAACTCTCCACCTAAACACCAATTTAAAGAAAACTGAATCCTAGAAGCCAATGCACTTTCCCTTGGCGTCAATGCCATCCCCCGGCGGACAGTTGCGCACAGTCCCGAAGATGTTGTTCACCTGGTTGCCGCTTCGATCGTAGAAAACCGCCTCGTAGGTGAAACTGCTAGGCCTGCCGGTGGTCCTATCGCCGTAGTTCATCGCCACCTGCCAGCTCACCTCGCCCTGGTCCGCCTCCAGGTGCTCGCGAATCATCCGCTCCACGCCGAACCAGTCGTTGAGCAGCCACCGACTGTGGTAGTTCCGGTTCACCGAGCGGTCCTGCGGCACCAGGTTGTACCAGAGCGGGGGGCCGCTGGCGAAGTTGCCCACCAGGTGACCGCGCTCATCGGTGGTACTGCCGTCCAGGTGGTTGCGCATGTACGTCGTGCTGGTGTTGCCGCTGTCGGGAAAGTCCACCCGGTTGTTGGCGTTGAGGTGCCGGGGGGCGTACCGCGCCACAATGAACTCCACTCGCTGGGCGCCACCGGGAATGTCCCGCACAAAGGAGTACTCCACCGGGTTGGTGCGGTCATTCGGTCGGATCATGTGCACCGCCCCGTCGGCGCCGGTCGCCGAGTTGTAGATCATTCGCTGCAGCAGAGCGGCGAAGAACATCGCCACGGTGACGAAGTTTCGACTGACAGAGCAACTTTGGCCCGGTTTGCCCGGCCCTGACTGACGCCGTCTTCGAGTAGAATGGTTTCTCACTTGTGAGCGGGACATCAAGGAAGAGGAGGCTTCTGGATCGATTTGCCCGTAGGTGATGGGCGTCACGTAAATGTAGCCGTCCCGTGCGTCTCGAGTGAAGTCAATGTTAAACTGGTCGTAGCCCTCGTCAAACCACAGCTGCACAATGGAATGGGCCACATTGCCCACCTGCATCAGCTCGTGACGACCTGACGCCCTGTCCAGGCCCTGATCGATGCTCCAGAACATGACGCCTAAAAAAGAGACAGTTTTAAATGACCTTCAACAATCACTTTTTTGTACTTACCCTTGAAGCAACTGGAACTGGCGTACTCCCGTTTCATGGACAACGTCTTATCGTCATCAAAGGCCACCCACTGGTCGCCCCAGACCATAATTTCCGACATTGACTGCTCATCATACTTCGGACTGACGTCCTTCTTCGCGGCAATGTCGGCAATCTCAAACCAGGCCAGCGTCCCCTCTGCGTCCGTACACTCGCCCGCCTTTGAGGGACCGGAAAACTCACAGCCGACTGCCGTACAGCTCGGGTCTTTCAGGGTGAAAGCACGGCCGTAGAGACCGAGGCCGAGGACCAGCTTCTCCGGTGGTACGCCGTCGCGGAGGAAGAGGGCAATGGCCTCCTTGATTTCAGTGATGTTAGTGTGCGACTTGACGTACGGCCCCAGACTGTCGATGCCCTTGTCCCAGACGCCGTGACTGAAAAGTGAAAAGAGATTAGTTAGAGATGAGCCACTTTCTAACAAATTAGCCTTTCACATACATGTCATAGGTCATGACGTTGATCCAGTCGAGCGACTTGGACATTCGTCCAATGAGAAAATGACGGAGGTACCAGTAGGAGGCGGGCGCCGCAATGGTGATCAGCACCTTCTCTCCCAGCGCCGCCCGCATCTCCTCCACCAGTTTGAGGTAGTTTTCTGTGTCTTCCGGATATCCTCCCCGGTCATCCGCCGTCGGATACTCATAGTCAATGTCAATGCCGTCAAAGTCAAAACGACTTAGGTAGCTCGAGACTGAGCTGATGAAGGCCGACCGCGAGCCCTCCGAGGAGATAATGTTGTGAAACTCCTCCCTCGTCGGACCGGGGTCGTTGAAGGCCCAGCCGCCCACGGAGATGAGCACCTTCAGGTCGGGATTGATGGCCTTCAGGTGGACAAAGGCGGCCATCTTCTCCGCCTCATCACCACCACTCGGGTCGACCATCAGTCCGCCGGAGATGCTGCCGAAGGCGTAGTTGAGATGCGTGTAATTGCGCGGGTCAATGTTGTCCACGGTGAAGGCGTGACACCTCCTGGTGGAAGACCATGAGGCGTAGTAGCCAATGTTCAGCAGGGGCCGAGCCGAGTCGCAGGACTTTTGAGGTGGAGTGGTGCAGCCCGACTGGCAGCCATCACTCTTGCAAAAATCAGCCGTCGTGCCGCAGAAGCCAAACTGACTGCAGCACACCTTCAGCGGACACTCCTCCTTGCCCTTCTCCGCGTACTGCCCACACTCCGGCTTGGCGTCGCAGTCATTCTGGCAGTCATTCTCGCAAAAGTCAGGCCCGTAGCCGCAGTTGCCCCACTTGCTGCAGCACGCCTTGGTGGTGCACTTTGTCTCCTTGGAGCACGTCTGACTGAGCACGGCGGTAGTGGTAAAGGAGGCTATTGCGAGGAGAAAAAGAGGAAACAGAGAGCAGCCGAACAGAGACTTCATTTTTCACAAAGTTGTTGTGTTTGACAGTTTTTTCCAATTGTTGCCAGTTTTGCAATTTATATATAACAAATACAAAATAAATTGCACAAAATGAAATAAATTATTCAGATGTAGACCCAAAAATCTGCCAGTGGTATCATCACACGCTTGATAGCAAAAATGACAGCCAAGTGTTTCAAGTGCTGGACATCTGTGCATGTGTGTGAGTAGAACCAAAAGCAGATGTAAATGTTGAAGAAGCTTTAATCCAAGGTTGTTGCTTCGGATCAAAGTTAGCCAACAAAAGCTGGTAATAACTAGGAAATGTAGAAAACGATGGGTGCAATTATAGTAGAACTGTGTAAAAATGCAATAATGGTAAAATTGTCTCGGAGACGACCGATTAAAACAGGAAAATTATCCGCAGTCACATGCCTCAATTTTGGTGTGTGTGTGTGCGTCCAGCAAAAGATCACGAAAAAGTCTTTAAAACGCAAAAATTTCCTTTTCAATTTGCAATGCTTTTTTCTTGCTGCACTTTGCAATACATTCAAAAAGTGAAATTGTGTACGCACATCGTTTGCCGTGGAACAGCAACTGTTACATCGGATATTGCTTGTCATTGATGTCACAGAAAAAAAAGAAAAAAATAATACAATTTTCTACTTCATTGCATTTTACTCGTCACATGTGTTAACTTTTTTTCACATTTTTATTATATCATTTGTGTTATACCATTCACAACCCAATCAGTGTGACGGTGTACGTTCTTTGATGACTCTCCTGATCATAAATATAGCCTCAAATAATTACGAACATCATTTTCATTTTGGTTATTTTCGTCGTACCTTCAGACCTTGCGCAACAACTTCACCTCAAATGATGAATTTCTCAAACTCTTTTGTGCTCACCACCACCTGTTGCAGCCTTATTCTTCTTCTGGACAGCGTCACCGCGTACTGCGTCTACAACAAGGGCTGCGTGGCGGCCCACGCTGAGCTCTTTGAGCGCGACACCCTGAACGGCTTCAGCAAGAAGGTGAAGGCCGGCGAGCGAGAGTGCTGCAACCCCAACTCCAGCGGCTGCGTCAAGGGCACCAAGGACGACCTGTTGCTGTGGATCGACTGCGACACTGACTCGAGGAAGGGAAAGGGCTACGGCCAGGGAGTGGTCGGCTGCGGAGAGTGCGACATTAACATCCTCGAGAGTGGCATGATCGAGGTGGTGATGGCCGTCGGCAAGGACAAGGGCAAGGTGCTCAGCATCTACGCCTGCAAGGGCATCGATGCCGCCCTCAGTCCGGTGTCCAGTGACCGGGGACTTTGAAAGTGTCCATACAGTTTTGTAGTTTTGATGAATGCCTGAATAATAAACAAAGTAAATGATGTGGGTGATGCGCGCGCGTTTTAATCTTGTAGGCGTAAGTGTAGTAACTGTAAAGTTGGTTTTTTTGTTCAGAAGAGAACTGGTGGTCACTTGGGCTTTGCTGCTTGTGTGTCATTTGGTGGGGGAGTGGCTGTGTGGTAGGCAGTACTTGATGGCACAGCTGATGGTGTCACCACCGTAGATGGGTGTTGATGCTCAGAAGGAAATGGTGGCGCTTGGAGAGGGAAAGCCTTTTGGACGGTGTTTGGCCTCAAAGTGGAGGACGGTGCTGGCTGCTGTGACTGCTGCTCTACGACGCTGCTTTGGGGAATGATAAACGAAGGTGCCCGTTTGGGTTGCTTTCCCTTTAATGGAGTTGTTGCCGTTCTCTTTGCGGCCGTTGTTTTGATGGCACTTATTGGAGAGTGCTGCTGATGATGAGAGGTGGCTGATGATGAAGAGGTCGGTGGTATCTCTGAAGACGGTGCTCTTCTCCGCTTCTTCATCAACGTACGAAACAGATTCAATGATATTCTACTCTGTTTTGTTGGCTTTTGCTTGGCATTGGAAACTTTAATGCTCACCCTCTTGGAGAAAATGCTGCTCAGGAGGCTTGGCTTCTTTTTCACCACTGAAACTGGCACTGCCTTTTTCTCTGCTCCTTTTCCCCTCTTCTTTTCCACTGTTGCCACTGGCACCAATGGACCTTGCAGAGTTGGTTTCTCCTTCAAAGGCCTAATCGTCGAGATTGCCCTTACATCCTCCTCGTTCTCTTCTTCCTCCTCTTCATTCACCTTCTCAATTTTCGTTTTTGCCACTTTACTGAAAATGGCTGAAGACGCAGTCCTCAGGTCTTGCTTCCCAGGCGGCCCTTCTCTTCTGACCCCATCTTCAGTGTCATCAACTGAGGAAGCATGCTTGGAAAAGGCACTGCCCATCATCTTCTCCTTTGGCTTCTTCCTCTTCTTCTTCTTCTCCTCCTTGCTCATTCCCAACGCTGAAAAGACCACTGAGCTGATGGTGCTGCGCAAGCCACCGGTGGTCGTCTGCTGGTCACTACTACCACCACCACCACCAGCTGCACCTTTTTCATTGCCTTCATTACCGTCATTGTGCTCTCCATTATCTGCCATCTCCGAGGTACTGTCGGCGTAGTATGAGTAGTAGGCGAAACCGCCGCCCAGCAGGCACACCGCCCCAAGAGCGGTCAGTGCCGCTGCCGAAGTGCTCATGCCCAGGATGGTCCACTCGGTGGTCAACGGGGGTGGCCAGGAAGGCTGTTCGTTTGAGCCATTTGCCCTCGATGAGGCGGATGCAGACTTGAGAAAGTGGTGGTAACCAGCAGCGGCAATGATCGCCGCCAGGCTTAGTACGCCAACAAAACTTTTTGGTCCTTGAATGTACGAAAAAAAGAGAATTAAAAAACAAAAAGGCAAAACTACGTTCGTTTGTTTCTACAGCTTACCACAGTTAATCTTGTTGCTCAACTTCTCCCTAAAAGACCGCTCCTTGTAGTCCAGTCTGGACTCTTGAAGGTAGGCAATGTAGAGGAGCACCTTGACGCGGACAATGCACAGTCTGCTGTACAACGTCTCGGAATGAAGCTCACTTTGAAGTTTTCTTCTTCCGAACCAACCGACCGGGTTGAACTTGTTTGCATTGACGCAACCTCCAAGCTCACACAGCCAGACGATCTCGTCGACCACTTCTCGAAGTGGAACGGTGTAGTGGTAGCCAACTCGTGACACAACGTCCACCAAATGACCTTTCTTCAACGCTTTACGTCGCATCGCTGTCTTAAAGAAGAGCACCTCGATGATTTCATTATTGAAGCCCTCGTCCTCTTTCATGGTGATCAAATCTTCTTTTGTGTGGCCAGCATTCTTCCGTCCAGTTCGCCTTAAAGCAGCGATCTGTTCTTTTAGGGAATCGAGAATTTCGTTGATAATCTCGTTTTCCTTGGTCCTTTTGCCGTTTTTAAAGAGCCCCACTACCTCAAAAAGTTCAGCCAAGTTCTCCAAAATGGACTTCTTTTTCTTTGAACCATCAAAAGCCCTCTGCAGTCTTTCATTTTCGGCAAAACTGCCTGCCAGCTCGTTCTTCAGACTGGCCAGGGTGGATCTGCTTGCGACGGGAAGTTTTTCGCTGACAAAATCGTCAAAATGGCGCTCTAAATCGGCCAAAATACTGGCATCAGCAGTCAGCATGGCGTCGTCTGCATCTTTGCTGTAGAACTCTAAAAACTTTTCAGCTGATGTCTCCTCTGAAAGAAGTAAACAAACACAGGTGATGATGATGGTGAAGATGGGACAGAGCATGTGCTGACGTGCTTTCATTGCAAGAAAACGGTGAGTAAAAGAGTGTGAACAGAGACCGAAAACACACAGTGAAAACAAACCTGACCTAATGCTTGGTGACACTTTTTATTTGGAAAAAGATTGTCGACAAAAATTCTATTTTTCAGTGGCTTGCATTGTCGCCTCTTTTACCTGTTTACCAAGAGCTCGCCTGTTGATGCCAGCCGTTTCAAAACACCAATTTCGTCCCAGCAAAAACTACTTGCAANATTGTCGCCTCTTTTACCTGTTTACCAAGAGCTCGCCTGTTGATGCCAGCCGTTTCAAAACACCGATTTTGTCCCAGCAAAAACTACTTGCAGATGATCAGAGTCAACACCACCTTACCGTTCTACTTTGCTTCAAGGTCAGTCACACTCAGTCACTTTTCCTTTTCTTATTCTTAGCTTACTTTTAGTGCGGCGCCAGCAACTGCACCTTTCTCAAGTTGTTTTCCTGAAGTTGTTTCTAGGCAATCTCACCTCTTATCAGTTTTCTTTTGTCACCACAAGAATGAGTAGAGAGCACTCTAAACACACACACACACACAGAGCACTAGTGGACGATTTCTATCAGCCTATGCAATCGTTCGGCCTGTGAGTTAGGCTAATCAATTGGAAGCCAAAGTGGCGAGGGAGAAAAAGAGAGAGAGAGAGAGAGAGAGAGTTTATCAGCTGCCCCGACACAGCAGCGGTGGTGGAAAACATTGTGCAGCAGCAACAGGAGCAGAACCTTCTTGCGCAGTAGAAAACGAGGGGAAGCAAAAAATTCCCTCTTTTCTTTCACTGAAACCAATGAGGCCTATCGCTAGCACAGCAGCAACAGTTGTCAGCGATAGTCTGCACTTGGCACAGTGTCTTGAGTGCCCGTGGACCACTTCTAAGCTGCTGCTGCTGCTGCTGCTTTACCACTTTTCCAAGGAAGGGCTGCTGGAAAGGCGGCAGCTCTGCTTCCGTCGCCGATGCTAATGCATGTTAAGCACACAGTGTGAGCTCTGAGAAACAATCATCGCTGATTAGCAATTATACAAAAAATAGAAGCTCTTGTTGCTATTTTTTCTGCTGCTGCTGCTGCTGTTGCTGTTGATGTTGATGCTCTGCTGTTGCTGTTTCTCGACTTTCATAAACGCTCTCTACCCGTCGTCGTCGTTCTGGGTGGCTTCTGAGCAGAAGCAGCAGCAGCAGCAGCAACGCCAGCGCCAGACAGTCACCAACTGTTGCTTGTTGCGTCACAAGTAGCACACCAACAATTCACCCGTCTGATTCACCAGTTCACGTCTACGCGTTGAAGCGGCCATAAACAGCCCTAAACAGCTCTCATCAACAACATGAAGATCAAACGGCTGATCGACTTTGCGGAGATAAAGAACTTTGTCGTCAAACGACGAGGCTGCACCATCGACGGCCTCGTCTTTCGCCTGCACTACCGCGCCACGGTGATCATCCTCGTCGGCTTCTGTCTGATGGTGACGGCGAAGCAGTTCTTCGGCCAGCCGATGGAGTGCATCAGCGATTTCGCCACCGGCGAGGGCAAGGACCAAAACGCGAAGATTCTCAACCGCTACTGCTTCATCAGCACCACCTTCAGCGTGAACACCGCCTGGAGGAAGGAGGTGGGCGAAGAGGTGCCCTACCCGGGCGTCGACAATGTCCATGGCGGCAAAGGAGGACTCAAAAAAGAGGGGAAAAGCGGCGAAGATCAGTCGACGGAGAACACCTCCGAGGTGACCTACCACGCGTACTACCAGTGGGTGTGCTTTGTGCTCCTCCTCCAGGCCGTCATCTTCTACCTGCCGCACGTCTTTTGGAAGCGCTGCGAGGGCAGCCTGACGCGCCGTCTGCTGAACGGCCTCGACCAGTACGTGATGAGCAAGGAGGAGCGCCGGGAGAAGGTGGACAGCGTCGCCGAGTACCTCCTGGCGACCAGCGGACGACACAACTACCTGGTGGTCGCCTACAGCGCCGCCACCGCCCTCAACCTGCTGAACATCGTCGGTCAGCTGATGCTCGTCGACCGCTTCCTGGGCAGCCAGTTCGCCAACTACGGCCTGGAGGTGCTCGGCTGGCAGGACTGGTCTGAGCCCTCCTTTCCCCTGCAGTACGACCCCATGATGCAGGTCTTCCCCCGCATGACCAAGTGCACCTTCCACAACTACGGCCCCTCGGGCGACATGCAGAAGTACGACGCCATCTGCGTCCTCTCCATCAACATCGTCAACGAGAAGGGCTACCTCTTCCTCTGGTTCTGGTTCTACCTCCTCCTGGTGCTCACCCTCGTCTCCCTCCTCCACAGCCTCCTCCTCCTGCTCTTTCCCTTCCTGCGCCTCATCACCCTCCACTCCACCGGGAAGAAGATGGTCGCCAAGCGAGACGTCCACCGAGTGCTGACGTACACCGGCGGCGGCCAGGTGGGCGACTTCTTTCTGCTGCACCTTCTCTCCAAGAACATGACCACCGGGAACTTTGGTGAGCTGGTGCACCGCATGGCGGCGCGCATTGCCCAGAAGGAGAAGATGCACTGATGAAGTGTGACAGCTGATGACAACACCGGTAGTAATATAATTTGTTTGCTTGCTTGCTTTTATTATGCCTGCTTTTTAAGAAGAAGTCAAAGACCCACGCCTGCTTATATCGCCAACTGTAAATCCAATCAGGAACTGCGACACTTATATAATACTGTTTTTTATTTACTACTCTGACAACATTTTACCTAATTAGCACAATGGACGATAGTGTGACTGTTTGTTGGCAGCTGTTGTAAATTAGCCATCAATGAGGAGTTTAGTGATGAGTGATAAAATGATGAGTGACTGGTAATCTGACGGATACAGCATCCTATTTAAACGCAAAAAAAGTCTCAAAATAAATCACACTTTGTGCAAAGTCGGAGAAATGGCCAAAACTTTACTCCTAGTGTTTTTGCTTGCTGTGATGAGCAACGCAAGCATGTCATCTGCTTTCAGATCCAATGTCACTCGCACTTCTATACCCCTAGTTTCTTGGGCCAACTTCAGCCATGCCCTCACCTCAACTGGCTACTCTGCACCGCACAAAGAACAGTATGACGCCTTCATCCACCGCCTTCCCAATGGAAATATTACTACAAAGCTTGAAGCTGCTATGTTTCTTGCGCAGATCATCATTGAATCGGGTGGTCTTCGCTACAAACGAGAACTGCGATGCATCAAAACCGGCTGCCCGGGCATCTACGACTCTTCAGTGGGCGTTCCCGGCAAGAACTACTACGGCAGGGGCTACATCCAGCTAACACATTCCTACAATTACAAAGAGGCATCACTTGCTCTGTACGGAGACCTGCGACTGATCAAGGACCCTGACATGGTCGCCCGAGATGAGGACGCTGCCTGGGCGACTGCATTCTGGTACTGGAAGGTCAAGGTGCACAGTCGACCGGGGGTGATGGCGGGTCACTTTGGGGACGCCACCATGGCCATCAATGGTGGTCTGTGTAAGCACAAAATGGCCGCTGCTCACCACCGTTTTGATGTCTACAAGAAGGTGGTCAAGGCGTTTGAGATCAAAGAGAAGCCAAACGGAGACNCTGCCTGGGCGACTGCATTCTGGTACTGGAAGGTCAAGGTGCACAGTCGACCGGGGGTGATGGCGGGTCACTTTGGGGACGCCACCATGGCCATCAATGGAGGTCTGTGTAAGCACAAAATGGCCGCTGCTCACCACCGTTTTGAGGTCTACAAGAAGGTGGTAAAGGCGTTTGAGATCAAAGAGAAGCCAAACGGTGAAGGTTGCTGGTGAGATTTTTGTTTTTTCTTGCTGCACTTGTTTGTTTTAACAAATGCTTCCTATTTGAAATTTTTCTTAAAACTAACTTTAATTTTATAAAAAAAAATTTTGCGAGAAGCCTTTTCATTTTTGATCAATATTTGTTGTTTTTAGCAAAAAATGCATAGCATTTTTTGTCAAGAAATGTTTGCTTTATTTAAAACTAAATTATTAAATTTTTTGTTTTGTTGGTCGACCTATTCTTGGTACAAATATTTACCGAAATTTGACAAAGTTAGAGTGAAACTGTCAAACAAAACTAAATAGAGTCAATTTATTTTGCTTGACTGATAAAGGTTTTACTTAAAAAATACAAAGTGCATTTCTTAATGAAAAGTACAGCCATTTATCAAGATTATTTGCTATATTAAATATTCTTCATAGCTTAATCTTAACCAAATTAAATTATTTAAAAAACTATTTCATTTGCTAAACTAAAAAACTTCAAAAATGAGCATTTTTAATTTTGAAAAAATAAGTTTGCTTAAGAAGCTTCAAGCTCATTTTAAGCCTCACCGGCTTTTGTTCATCTCAGCCGATTACATCACCAATATGGCTGACGAGAATCAACCGATTTCTTATCAGAAAAAATGTTTTCTAGTCGCCTACTACATTTACATGATAACCTACATGATCCGTCTGGTGTTGGCTGCCCTAGTGCTCAACAACCTTTTACTACCTCGGTCATACCTTAGGGTGGATCTTTTCATTGGCTTTCTAATAAAAGTACGCTTCATTGACCGCTATCTCGCCCTTGTCCTGTCGCCCATCTTTCTGCTGCTGCTCTTCGTCGATTACACTGTTCATTTTCGTTGTGGTTTGCACAGCTTTCACCTTGCGTATGACATTATTGTAACAAATAAGCAGAACTTTACACTACTCAATCCCCAACTGAACTTGCAAAACATCAGACACAAAAGTATAAAAAGTGTTTGTAAAAACATCAATGTGACAAATCATTCGCTGACACACTTCCCCGGACTTCAGCACTCAATTCGGCAAAGAGCGATTCTTCTCTCCTTTACCTTTGATATCCTCATGGCCATCTTTGTAATTTGCTACTCGTTGATATGCATCTTTGGCCTTTCCTACTTTTACCTGAACACCGTCTGGGCGGCTTTACCATTCACCCAGGGCTTGCTGGTGATCACCGAAAGCAGCATGGTAGTGTACACTGCCTGGCACAGCACCAAAATTGGCTTTTTTCTTGCCCACTTCACTGGAATGATCATCTTTGTGCTAAGTCGGCAGCTGGTCATTGCCCTGAAAAGACTAGAACGACTGCTGAAGGAGGTCAGAAGGCAGAGCAGCAAAAGTAGTTCAGCAACAGGCAACCAACTTCTAGACCTGGCTCAGCATCGATTGGCTTCCTTTTACCACGGCTACCTTCGTTTGCACCACAAACTCTTCTACGACCTGAGTCACTGCAATGCCGAGGTGAACTCGCCCAGCCTCCTCCTCACCCTGCTCACCGTCTTCGGCTTCAACATCTACTCGGCGACGCTGTTGATCGTGAAGGAGCTGTCGCAGAAGATGCGGGCGCTGGTCTTTGCGGCCAACTACATGGTGCCCCTCTTTCTCTACCTCGCCATTCACCCCATGATCACCGTTCGCCGGCTGATGCAGTCCTCGCAGCTCTACCTCCACCGCTCTCAGGTGTACCTGGGCAACAGCAACGCTGATGTGCGACTGAAGCTGAAGCTGGCTGGTGCCAGTGATCGGAGGTTTGCCTTCACTGTCGGACCGGTGGGCAAGGTGACCACCAACCAGCTGGTCAAGGTGTGTGCTTTTGTTTTTGTTTGTCAATTTTAATTGCTCATAGTCTTTTTACTTTTCTTTATAAACTTCTAGTTTACTCTCATTTACGCTGTCTATTTGATGTACAGCATGTCAATTGTGCTCAAAAGCAGCATTTTTCAGCCAGTCAAGTGATTCAGTATTAAAAAACTGAAGCATTTCGCTACTTGGTCAACAGTAAAATGCACCCGACTAAATATAATTGAGGACGTGTACTCAAAATGACCCAGT